CACTCTGGGATAAATTCACTATCCTTCTACTAAAACTTTTGTGGGCTGTAATTCTTCATACAAGGTTGATAATTGTTTTTTCCAAGGGCTGAATCAAAGGCACAGGGGTCTTGGGCTCTGTGCCAAGGTCTCTGAGCCCCCTGACAGAGTCTTGAGTCCTCCAGGGCAACCAGATGAATTTCCTGGGTTTCCACAGGCTCTTTCTCCAGGCAGCACTGACAGAACCAGATGACACAGCCTCAATCTGCACCAAGGGAAATACAGGTTGGATATCTGGAAAAAGTTTTTACAGAAAGGTGATAAAGTTCTGGAATGGCCAGAGAGGTGGTGGAGTCCCCATCCCTGGGTGTGTTTAACAAAGCCTGGATGTGGCACTGGGTGCCAGGCTTTAGTTGGGGTGTTGGGGCTGGGTTGGACTCAATGAACTTGAAGGTGTCCCCAAGCAGGTTGTTCTGACACTTCTGTGAATTCTGTGAAAGGGGAAAGACACAAACTGTGCATTTTGCCTCCCATAACTGCTTTTTCCAACTGCTTAAACATTCTCTTAACCAAAACCTGACCAGGGAAAGGCTGTACCACAAAAGGAACACTGCCACATCAAACACCACGCCTGCATTGTAAATACAAAATGTTGAAATATGTTGGAAAATTTCTCTTGGAACACTGTGCCCACCAAGCCATAACTCAAGTCAACTTGGTTTTCATGAGCAATTTTGGTGATTGTTCTACATCCCCAGTGGAAATGAATGGTTGCTACTGCAGAGAATTCAGAAAATTCACTGTGTCCTCACAGAGTTTCTGAGCTTTCAGGGCTGGCAGTGGCTGCTCAGGGATGGCTTTGGCCCGTGTCCCTCCAAGCAGCCACTGCCCAAGCAGCTGCGCTGGCCCCGGGCTCTCCTCCCGGCCTGCTGGGCTTTGTTGGGTGGCACAGCCTGTGCCAAGGGGCGGCAAGGTGCCCGCAGGCCCCAGCTCTGGGGGAAACGGGAACATCCTGCCCGCATCCACCGTGCTGCCAGCTCAGCAGTGCAGCATAGCACTGGCTGACGCTCCCCATTGCTCCCACAGGTGCAGCCGGCCCCACCACACGTGTTCCTGATTCCCAGAAGGGGTGTGAAAAACGGCAATAGCTTGTTTGTAAAATTTTATTAATAATAAAATGTTTATAAAAATAGCAATATCATTAGAGAGATAAAAATTTTGGACAATTTCAATTGGGAAAATCAGAGACAATAGGAAAAAAGAGATACAGAAATCTGGGTACCTATTTTCTCAGCAGCATTGGCCCAAAAAAGGACACACTTGAACGGATGATTAACCCTTAAAAACAATAACCTGTTGCATATTCATACATCTCATACATGATGCATAAATTCCATTCAAACACAGGATTCTGCCTGGTCATCGTCAATTTCTCCCTCTTGATCCTAACCAGCTTCCTGAGGGCTGAGCGAGGCAGGAAGAAGTTAGTTTCTTCTGATAGGAGAGCAATAAATTCTTTCTCTGTGAAAGATTTCGGTGTCCTGTGGCCGCTATATTTGCAAAAAGCCAATCATAAAATACACATTTCTCAGACAACCTCAGAATGGCTTGCTGTTGGGGAACACTCTGTTTGCTTGGGATAAGGGCAAGTTTGACCTTCTGTTGATGCTGGAAAGGATTTGGAAGCGCTCAACAGAGCCCTGACTGAGAGCTTCCCTGTTGTGGTACATGTTTTTGATTGTAATTCGGCCCTAGTAGTCAGTTTTATGACACCCCCTTATTTGGTATTGTTATACCATATTTTATTGCCAATGAGTTGCTCAATTCCCCCCTGTATTGTTGGTTTTTCCCTAGTTGTCCATCTCCCCAAAGACCTACCCTTTTGTTCCCTGTTCCTCCTCCCATTCAATGTCAATCCCTCCCCAAGCCTGCCCCTTTCTCTGGAAACTTCCCTATCAATTTTGTATCCTTTGAAACCCTAATGGTTTTTTTAAGTTGTCCTCCTCCCCTGTAATCCCCTATTGGTATAAACAATGTATTCCCTGCCTTGTGTTCCACCCTCAGTTTCTCCCAAGTGGCTAAAGACTGTATCCTCCCCAGGGACCTCCCCAGTTTGGAAATGGGTGTATGGCAGTAATTCAGTGTCTTTCTGCCGCTGAGTTGGCAGGGAACAAACATAGAGAAGAGCTCTCCCTGTTCCTTGTCCCTACCCCAGCGCAGTCCACCTGTGCTGTAAAGCAGCTGTGCCCTACAGCCAAACCCCAGAGTTGACAGCTTTCTGGGGGCGGCCCACTCTGGGGGTTGGTGTTGGCAGCAAGTCGGGCTGAAGAAATCGGGCACTGCAGCACTTCCCAAATGAGCTCTTCTCTTGCAATAAAGAGATGGAGCTGCCAGCCCAGTGTCCGGGTGGCAGCAGCAGCAAAGCCCACCGGGCAGCAGCACAGGCTGAGCTCCATGGCCAGGAGCAGCCGTGGATGCCCACGGTGTGGGCAGGCAGGAGCCAGGCAGGGGCTGCTGTGACCAGCGGCGGGGCCCTGAGGGCTGGGGGAGCCCATGCTGAGCGTCCCTGGGCTGAGGGCACATTTCCTTCCCTGGCATCAGCTGGGCCTGGGCCTCCTCCAGTGGCATGCCCAGGGAAAGAGGGAAGCCATCGGGAGGTGCTTGCCTTGAGAACAATGGAAAGAGGCTGGACTCTGAAGGAAGTCCTTCATAGCCTGAGGGATGAGCTCAGAGCCCGACAGACTCTGGGCCTGTGGCAGCCCCAGACCTCTTATGAGCAGAGTGGGGATTTGTCCCCCAGGCCTCATCTGTTGCCCCAGGGACACATGGTGAACACACACACACAGAAGATGGCTAGGCACTGGTGCTGCTCCCTGAGTGTTATGTTTGGGTCCCTCTAAAGGCATGCAGGGGCTTTGGGCCACCTCTGTGCTGTGCAGGGGACTGGGGACACCCAGAAATTTTGCAGGGAATTGAATGTATGTCCAAAGGTGTGTGGGGGCATCTGTAAATTGAGCAGGTCTCGGAGGACTTTTTTCAAGGACACAGGGGGATTTTAGGGTGGCTGAGGACACCCATAAGATGTGCACGGGGTTTGGGTGTCCCCTAAAGTGTGCAGCTACCCTGAAGGCCTGTGTTGCATTATTTTTGTCAGCTTTGGCATCAAGTTGTTCACTTTTTAAATATGGGCCAAAGCACAGCACAATGCAGAGTAGGGAGTTGGTGTCAGAATGGCAGGACTGCTGCTGCATGCAATAATGGGAATCATGAGTTGAATTTTTGACTTGACATTGCTATTATATGTAGAACCACAAAAAGTGTCACTTGTGCAATATCGTGTACCTCAGTTGTGAAAAAATCCGAGCTTGCAAATAGGTACTGGGCGGGACATCATCTCCTTGCTGGAAGGGCACCGTTGGAGATCAACTCCAACTAAATCCTGCCCCAGCCATGAGGTCACAGCAGGCTCTGAGGTCACAGAAGTGCCAGAGCCCCGTGGTTGCACAGCAGCACAAGGAGCGAGCAGTCAGTGCTTGAGCACAACTGTTGCGGCAGCAGCAGCGGCGGTGGCAGCAGTGGTGCTGACATTGGGACAGCGGTGTCAGGACAGCGGTGGCAGCAAGAGCTGCGGGACTGGCAGAGGGCAAGGCAGCATGGCCCTTGCTCTGCGCCTCTTCCTCCTGCTCCTCCTGGCCGTGGCCCTGCCTGCCAGGGCTGCCCAGGCTGCTCCGCTGCAAGCGTGGCGAGCAGGTGAGCCGGCAGCCTGGCTCCCCTTTCCCGGGACAGCGCTCCCTGCTCCCCGGGAAGCGCTGGGGATGGTTTTCCCCAGGCCTTTAGGGAGGGTTTCCTCTGGGGGAGGGAGAGAGCCCCCAGGGCCCTGGGCTGCCCCAGTTTCCCCTCCCGGGATGTGTCACAGGGCCTGCAAAGAGGGTGCAGAGTGACCAGGAGCCAGCCCAGAGCTCCCCAGGCCCCTGTGCAGCTTTGGCCTTGTCCATTCACATCTGGCCCCCACAGCCCTTGCCAACTCCCTTGCAGTGCCCAGTTCCCGGAGGGAGAAGGGGATGCCAGCGCATCATTGAAATGGGTCTGGTCTTTGCTCCCTTCTAGATTTGGATCGCGAGTTTAATGATTTAGATTTGTTGTTGAATGATATTTCGAATGTCTTGAAGAATGCTATAGGTAAGTTCTGAATTTCCGTTACTAGTGACATATTATCCAGTATCCAAGTGGCAAGAGCTCGTTCATCTGCCATTTTCATTAGAAGGGTTCTGAAAACCTTGCCCTGCTCTTTTCTGGAGCCCTGAGAGATCCCACAGGATGACTGTCAGTGGGAGGAAGGAGCATTTAGCCGTCCAACCTCCTCCCATGTTCAATGCCACTGTGTCCTTCCGTGCGGTCTGTGCAGTCACAGACAAAAGCAGAGAGGGAAGGTGCAGGGCCCAGGGCTGTGCCCCGGGGCTGAGCCTTTCCTGCAGCCTGAGGATCTCCTACAGTGCCATGGGTGCTGCTCTGTCCTGCCTTTCTTTGCAGCTGAACCTGTTGGTGAAGGTGATCTGGCTTTCCAACCCACGTCCACGACTGAGCCTCTGGGACATGGCGAGGGTAGGTCAAGGCCTTTCCCCTGGGAGAGCTGCCAGCTCAGAGCCCAAAGCTCGGCCAGGGGGGCATCGCTGCAGGTTCCAGGACAGAGCCATACACGTGTTTGCCCTCGCCCTGCGCCATCCCCTCACCGCTCCTGAGGCTCAGTGGTGCCCGTGCAGCTGAGTAGAGGCGGCAGAAGCTTCTGTGGCTGTTGTGTTACAGATGTGTCTGCAGGGAGGACTCTTCCTGATCCTTCCCTCATTCCTACACAGAAGCCTGCCTCCCATCACAGGGGTGAGTAGTGTGTCCCTGCTGACCCCACAGACTGAGCCCTGCTTCTGTGGGATCCATTAATGGGAAGAGGAAACATGTTTTTCTAAGGTCCTCTAAAAGGAAAGAACAAAGCTGCAGGACAGAAGAAAGCCCATGAGTCATCTGAACACATGAGGCAAAGGACGAAGGAAATGCAGCAGGCAGGACAAGGTGGGTGCATTTCCCTCAGCCTTGTCCTGGGGCTCAGCAGCTGGGGGCTTTGGCTGCACATCTGGACACGCCGTGCCCGGCACAGCAGGAAGGGATCCATGGCAGCCTCGCTTCCCCGCTGCTGCTTCCACGCCCTGCAGGGCTGTTTGCCAGCCTGGCCTGGCTGCAGCTGCTCCCCGGCCACTGCAGGATTGATTGTGGCATCAGCTGACAGGCAGCCCAAACTGCAAAATGCACCTCAGATCCCCTGCAATTTCCCATCTCCAGGCAAATCAGAAGGGGCAGCTGTTTGGAGTACAGAGGGCTCTGGTCTAAACAAAAATTTTATAGGAATTTCCTCACCATTCTTTACCATGTCTGTGACAAGCATTGCCTCTTGAAGATTCCCCATCCTCAATGGGGAACAGCACCACCCAATCCAGCTGTACCACATCTTTTCTCCAGAAGCAGATGGAGAGGCTGTGATGAAGGCTCAGTTTCCCGGAGGAAGCAGTGGCTCATTGGCAACTTCTGCTGCAGGAAGGGAGGCAATGCCAGGCACAGCCACAGGAGGTAATTGCTGTGCCTCTGGGCCTGAGCCCTGCTGGGGCTTGAGCTGCCCTCTCTGCAGCTTGGTACTGTGGGCACAGCCCGGACAAGACGGGCACAGCCCAGAGGAATTGTCCCAAGCAGGCTCAGGGCACTCGGGTACTGAGCTGTCCTACTGGGGTCCCTCCGTGGGAGACACATCTCCAAACCTGGGAGCGGCTGCACGGGGTGCCCATGGTGGGGAAAGGGCAGAGGGGGAGAGCAAGGCTGCACTGGGTCCTGAGAGGGCTTGGCCATGTGCCCTTGGGATGGAGAAAGGGGTCCCAAGGCAAAGAGAGATGGAGAGATAGAAGAAGGTGGGAAAGGCAGGAGAAAGGACAGGAGAGTCAGAGGGAAAAGGGGGATAGCTGTGGCACTGCCTGCTGCAGTTTTCCCCAGGGCTTTAGCAAGAGTTGCAGCTGTGGCAGTGACAGCACCCAGGGCCTTGGGCTGCTTCAGCCGCCCCACCAGGGATGTTGCACAGGGCATGGAACGAGGGTGCAGAGTGACCAGGAGCCAGCCCAGAGCTCCCCAGGCCCCTGTGCATCTTTGGCCTTGTCCATTGACATCTGGCTCCCACAGCCTTACTCGACCCCCTTGCAGCGCCCATTTCCCAGAGGCAAACGGGGATCCCAGCATGCCCTGAAAAATGTTCTCATCTCTGCTCTGTTCTAGATGAGGTGTCTGGAAAGGCTTCTCCATTAGATGGACGGCATAAAATTTTGAAGCCTTTGGAACCTCCTGCAGGTATGTTCTCATTGTCCCACCACAGAATAATTGTTGGCAACCTGGCAGGAACCAGGTGACAGAAGTTGCTGTGGCTGTTGTGTTACAGATGTGTCTGCAGGGAGGACTTTTCCTGTTCCTTTGCTGGTTCCTTCACCGAAGCCAGGCTCTCATCGCAGGGGTGAGTAGTGTGTCCCTGCTGACCCCACAGGCTGAGTTCTGCTTTTGTGATATCCGTTCATAGGAAATCAAACCATGTTTTCTAAGGTCCTCCAACAGGAAAGTACAAATCTACAGCACAGAAGGAAGCTCATGAGCCATCTGAATACATGAGGCAAAGGACAAAGGAAATGCAGCAGGCAGGACAAGGTGGGTGCATTTCCCTCAGCCTTGTCCTGGGGCTCAGCAGCCGGGGGCTGTGGCTGCACATCTGGACACGCCGTGCCCAGCACAGCGGGAAGGGATCCATGGCAGCCTCACTGCCCCGCTGCTACTTCCATGCCCTGCAGGGCTGCTTGCTAGCCTGGCCTGGCTGCAGCTTCTCCCCAGCCTCTGCAGGAAGGCATTGGGCATCAGTTCACAGGCAGACCAAACAGCAGCAGGGACCTCAGATCCCCTGCGATTTCCCTGTCGCCAGTCAAATCAGAAGGGGCAGCTGTTTTGAGTACACAGGGCCCTGGCCTAACCAAAAATTTTATAGGGATTTCCTCACCATTCTTAACCATGTCTGTGACAAGCATTGCCTTCTGAAGGGTCCCCATCCTCAAAGAGGAACAGCCCCACCTGACCCAGCTGTACCACATCCTTTCTCCAGAAGCAGATGGAGAGGCTGTGATGAAGGCTCAGTTTCCCGGAGGAAGCAGTGGCTCATTGGCAACTTCTGCTGCAGGAAGGGAGGCAATGCCAGGCACAGCCACAGGAGGTAATTGCTGTGCCTCTGGGCCTGAGCCCTGCTGGGGCTTGAGCTTCCCTCTCTGCTGCTTGGCACTGCGGGCACAGCCCGGACAAGACGGGCACAGCCCAGAGGAATTGTCCCGAGCAGGCTCAGGGCACTCGGGTACTGAGCTGTCCTGCTGGGCTCCCTCCGTGGGAGACACGGCCCGAAACCTGCGAGCGGCTGCACAGGGTGCCCATGGTGGGGAAAGGGCAGAGGGGGAGAGCAAGGCTGCACTGGGTCCTGAGAGGGCTTGGCCATGTGCCCTTGGGATGGGGAAGGGGTCCCAAGGCAAAGAGAGATGGAGAGATAGAAGAAGGTGGGAAAGGCAGGAGAAAGGACAGGAGAGTCAGAGGGAAAAGGGGGATAGCTGTGGCACTGCCTGCTGCAGTTTTCCCCAGGGCTTTAGCAAGAGTTGCAGCTGTGGGAGTAAGAGCACCCAGGGCTTTGGGCTGCTTCAGCCGCCCCACCAGGGATGTTGCACAGGGCATGGAACGAGGGTGCAGAGTGACCAGGAGCCAGCCCAGAGCTCCCCAGGCCCCTGTGCAGCTTTGGCCTTGTCCATTGACATCTGGCTCCCACAGCCTTACCCGACCCCCTTGCAGTGCCGATTTCCCAGAGGCAAACGGGGATCCCAGCATGCCCTGAAAAATGTTCTCATCTCTGCTCTGTTCTAGATGAGCTTGCTAGGAAGATTTCTCCATTAGATTGGCTGAAGAAAATTTTGAAGCCTTTGGAGCCTCGTGCAGGTTTGTTCTCATTGTCCCACAAGAGAATAATTGTTGACAACCTGGCAGGAACTTGGTTAGAGAAGCTTCTGTGGCTGTTGTGTTACAGATGTGTCTGCTGGGAGGACTTTTCCTGTTCCTTTGCTGGTTCCTTCACCGAAGCCAGGCTCTCATCGCAGGGGTGAGTAGTGTGTCCCTGCTGACCCCACAGGCTGAGTTCTGCTTTTGTGATATCCGTTCATAGGAAATCAAACCATGTTTTCTAAGGTCCTCCAACAGGAAAGTACAAATCTACAGCACAGAAGGAAGCTCATGAGCCATCTGAATACATGAGGCAAAGGACAAAGGAAATGCAGCAGGCAGGACAAGGTGGGTGCATTTCCCTCAGCCTTGTCCTGGGGCTCAGCAGCCGGGGGCTTTGGCTGCACATCGGGACACGCCGTGCCCGGCACAGCAGGACGGGATCCATGGCAGCCTCGCTGCCCTGCTGCTGCTTCCACGCCCTGCAGGGCTGCTTGCTAGCCTGGCCTGGCTGCAGCTTCTCCCCAGCCTCTGCAGGAAGGTATTTGGCATCAACTGACAGAGAGCCCAAACTGCACCATGGATCCCCCTGCATTTTCCCGGTGTCTGAGCACATCCTGAGGTGTGCCTGCTTGGCAGAGGGAGGGCCATAGGAAGCCCCAAAGGCCTGTGGGGATCAGGATTTTCCTGATTCTTATCCATGTTGTGGACAAGTATTGCCTCCTGAAGAGGCCACCACCTGCATGTGCAATGATTGCATCTGATCCCACCAAGCCTCTTCCTTTCTCAAGGGATGGACAGAGAGGGTCTGTGGAAAGCTGCATTTCCTGCAGGAAGGGAGGCGATGCCAGGCACAGCCACAGGAGGTAATTGCTGTGCCTCTGGGCCTGAGCCCTGCTGAGGCTCGAGCTGCCCTCTCTGCTGCTTGGAACTGTGGGCACAGCCCGGACAAGACGGGCACAGCCCAGAGGAATTGTCCCGAGCAGGCTCAGGGCACTCGGGTACTGAGCTGTCCTGCTGGGCTCCCTCCATGGGAGACACGTCCCGAAACCTGGGAGCGGCTGCACGGGCTGCCCATGGTGGGGAAAGGGCAGAGGGGGAGAGCAAGGCTCCCCTGGGTCCTGAGGTTAAGTCCGGGCAGAAGGGTTCTTAAAAACTTGCCCTGCTCCCTTCTGGAGCCCTGAGGGATCCCACAGGATGCCTGTCAGTGGGGGGAAGGAGCATTTAGCTGTCCATCCTTCTTCTGTGTGCAATGTCAATGTGTCCTTCTGTGTGCTCTGTGCAGCCACGCAGAAGAGCAAAACGGAAAGGGGCTGGGCCTAGGGCTGTGCCCCGGGGCTGAGCCTTGCCTGCAGCCTGAGGATCTCCTGCAGTGTCACAGGAGCTGTTCTGTCCTCCCTTTCTTTGCAGCTGAACCTGTTGGTGAAGGTGATCTGGCTTCCCAACCTACGTTCAGGATTGAGCCTCTGGGACATGGCGAGGGTAGGTCAAGGCCTTTCCCCTGGGAGAGCTGCCAGCTCAGAGCCCAAAGCTCGGCCAGGGGGGCATCGCTGCAGGTGCCAGGACAGAGCCATGCACGTGTGTGCCCTCACCCTGCACAAACCCCTCACACCTTCTGCTCAGGCCTGGCAGCTATTTGGAGGAAGGTGGGCCCTGGCCCAGCCCCAAAAGGCCAGATGGTTTTGAATCTTATCCCCATTTTTGATAAGCATGATGTCCTAAAGATGCCACCAAAAGAAATCAGAAATTGTTCCATCTGATCCAGCTGAACTTTTTCCTTTTTCAAGTGATAGCGCAAAAGGCAGGACAGAAAGGAGTGTTTCCCCAAGCAAGCAGAGGCCGACTGGCCGCCCCTGCTGCAGGGAAGGAGGAGATGCCAGACATGGGCACTGGCACAGGAGGTAATTGCTCTGCCACGGTCAGCCATTTAACTGGGCTGTGTGGTGGCACCTCTTCCCCCCAGGTCCTGCCCTTGCATGGTCCAGAAGCAGCCAATGCTGGAGGCACATCTGGAGCCTTGGAGGCCTCTGGAGCTCATTCACAGCCCTGGGGAAAGGGGACCCGTGCACTAATGTCCCTCCCACTGCAGCTGATCTGGAGCTGGCCCTGAGTGCCCAGAGGCCCAAGGCACAGGAGCAGCCCCGAGCGGGAGCCCTGCCGCGAGCCCAGGGCCAGAGCCAGCCTTGGCTCCCGACTGGGCAGGGGCTGCACTGGGTCCTGACAGGGCCTGACTCTGTGCCCTGGGGCTGGGGGAGCTGTCACGGGGCAGGGAGGGCCAGGGCTGGCAGTGGCTGCTCAGGGATGGCTTTGGCCCGTGTCCCTCCAAGCAGCCACTGCCCAAGCAGCTGCGCTGCCCCCGGGCTCTCCTCCCGGCCTGCTGGGCTTTGTTGGGTGGCACAGCCTGTGCCAAGGGGCGGCAAGGTGCCCGCAGGCCCCAGCTCTGGGGCAAACGGAGAACGTCCTGCCCGCATCCACCATGCTGCCAGCTCAGCAGCGCAGCACCGCACGGGCTCACGCTCCCCTTTGCTCCCACAGGTGCAGCCAGCCCCACCACACATGTTCCGGATTCCCAGAAGGACCCTGGAAGGGGTTTCTGTAAGGGAACAGGCTGCTGGATAGGATTAATTGCAGGCCTGCTTTTTTTGGAGCTTATTTTCATCTTATTCTGTGTCCAAATTTGGACTTACTGGAAGAGAAAAGGGTGAGTGTTTTGTTCACTTTTCCCTAAAACAGCTTCTTTTAACAGTCTTATGTTGTAGACAGGAAATGTTCCCAGAGAAGCTGCTGTGGTGTTGTTGCCAGTCTGTGATTGTCCAGAGAAGCTGAGCAGCCTTGCCAGCTCTGGGCCCTGCTGTGCAGGAGGGTCCCTGTGGGCCGCTGGCAGCTGGGGCCTCAGCCACCTCCTCTCTCCACAGGGATGACTCTGCAGCTTCATAAGACTGCCCAAATAACTCAGCCAGGGGGAACTGGACCTGTCATCTCGCATCTCCGTGCCCGTGTCCGTTGTCCCTTCCACGGCTGCATTACCAGCTCATTGCTAGGGACAGCTTGTTGGTATCACCACCCAGAGCAGGAGCCTCTGTCCCCAAAGGTCCTGCCCCTGGTGTCCAGCCAGGCCAGGAGGTGCAGCCCTCCTACCAGGGATTGGCTTGAGCCTGGCAACATCTTTGGGGTTCAGCTCAGGTGTGTCTGTGCTACCACCAGCACTGCTGGAGCTGCTTGTCTGGGCACAGCCAGGGCTGGGCAGGCAGCAGCTGAGCACGGGGCTCCTGAGTCAAAGCAACCTCATTTTCTCTTTGTTTTACGTTTATACACAGCAGAACATTTTAGAAAAATTTAGAAACATTTTTTGTAGAAAAATATCCACAAATATTTCTTCCCTTTTCCCATTGTAGTTTAGTATTTTTCAAAGTAGTTTTAGAATTCTGAAAAATTTGAACAGTTTTACACTTGCCAAATAAAAAATAAAACTGCTTTTAATTGGTGATCATTACAGTTAGACGAACTAAGTCATCACAAGACACCCAGAGTTCTGGAGAGGCTCTTTTCCCACTGGAGATTTTTACCTTCTGACAGCAACAGACCTAAAGCCCTGTCCCTGATAATTTCCGGGATTTCTTACAAGCTCATCTCTCAGTCTTCAAAGGCAAACTTTGAGCACAGTGAGAATCTCCTGCTGTGCAGGAGGGTCTCTGTGAGCCAGCTGACACTGGGGCCTGTTTTGTAGAGATAAACGCAACTCCATGACTTTGTGAAAGTTGTAAAGTTGGTATGTTTATTACTGTGCTGGATGCATGTGGAGATTCCTCTCCTTAAAAGACATGTGTACCTCTGGGAACTCCAGATCCTTTTTCATCACCCTCTCAAATAGATATGCATCCAATTTTACGATAGGTTCATACATATTCATTTTACAAATTTGGCGTGACATTTACCGCTAGTTAATCTTTATCAGAAAGAATTCCCAGGTCAGGTTGGCCTCTTCTTACAGCAGTTCCTCTGTCTCTGTGTCCCCTGCCACCCCCTTATCTCTGTCCTTCACTGAAGCAGTTTCTCTGAGCCTAGGCTTTTTACCAGTCAGACTAAACCGCTATATTTTCCAACTACAGACTTAACTAAAAAATGTACATTTCGCCTAAATCAAAATGGATTTCTACTCTGGAAAATTTCTACTCTGTCTCTTTTCCCCCCTTTCCTAGAAAATAAGTAAATTCTTTTATCTAAAGCAAATCCCTATGACAATAAGTGTCTCTTAATGCTTTACCATGTACGTTTGATACGGAGGTTAACTCAGCTGTTCATTGTAGTATTCTCCAATTTCACATTAGCAATATAATGGATAACCCTAAAATTAGCTTATTCCAGCTAATATTAACAAAACTACAATGGAATGACACTATTTATTAAGGACAATTGCAATTGGTGGACACCCAAAGATCACATTCCACCAGTGATGATCTGCAGTTTCCTTTACTATTTGTAGAATTCTGCTTACTTCCTTGGTGTCATGTTAGACAGTAATTTAGGTTTTCTCTGTTTTCTGGAATTTCCTTCAAAATCTCCAGTAGGTCTGGTGCTTAATTGATTGTTTTACCAATGTAAGGTCCATCCCAGCAGGAGTAGGTGATGGTCTGTGTTGAATTGTGTAATTGGTTTTAATCAACTGGTGGGATGTCACTGGGGCCACGTACAAAAAATCACACCCGATAATCTTAAAAAAATTGCAAGCACAAAAATTAAAAATATTTCTTCTAGAGAAAAACGCATTGTTGCTATCATTTTTTACAGTAGCACAAGCAGTTCCCAGGCACACATAACTTTTACTAGTATATACGAGCACAGTTTTCTGATCAGTGACTGGATGAATCTCAAAGTGGCAAATACTCTGTTCAGTGTCTAGACACACATCTTGGCCATTAATTGTATTGCTTTCACAAATGAATCCTAGTTGTTCTCTAGTAATGCAGGATTCTAACTTTACTCTCTTGGCCACTTTTCATTCACCTTTCCTGCGCACACCCTATGTTCTGAAGGGTAGAGCACTGTTTTTTCATTATTTAATCCTAGTGCAACGATGGGGCGGATAACATAAACAGTGGCATTACGTATGGTAAGCACAAAGGCAGTGGCCACATTAGATGCAGGATCATAGGTGAAATTTAATATAGTCCACCAGGATTGAAACTTCTTTTCAAAATCAGTCACATTATCCCAGACAACTTTCCAAATTTCAGCTGGAAAATTACCTTCACCCCCTTCCCGTATGATCTGAGCTGCTGTTGCCTGCATCTATAACTCTGCTTTTATACATCTGAAAGCTAAAGACACATTATTTTGAACTGTACCAA